AGGCCTTGTCCAAGTCTTCTCTTCCTGGGCCGTGTTCCCAGCTGTGGAATTAGGAGGACCTAGGAGATCAGTTTCCATTTGTGCTGTAGGGGCCCTGTCTTCGGACGATGGTGGTGATGGGGTGGTGTGCTCTGTTTCATATACTGAGTAAGATTTCTTTTGAACAAAGGGTTTGAAATAAAATGGACTTTTCCAATCACTGGGCTAGGGGGAGCTCTAAGCTCCTTTCAAGTTGAAATCTGTGATTCTGAGTTTAGATCTTTGATACAATGTTTTATAACAACCTGTGGACTCTGACGACAGTCTCTGGACTGACAGGTGTGTGCACAAGCCCCCAGCCACCTGGAGAACTGAACCCTCGAGATCTGCTGTTGCTGAAGGCGTCAAAATGGCTTCCCTGATGCTAAGGCAGCTCAAAGAATATACTAGGATTGATTAGCTTGTTTTCTTCAAATTCTTTCTAGCTGACTAGCCTGTTTTCCCTTCTGCTACTACTATTGTTTGATTTGCCTGATTGATTATGTGCTTAGCAACCCCAACCCTGTGTTATGCCTCACTCTAAATAATTGGCACCTAAAACCAGAAGCTATGTTCCAGCAAGAAGGTCACAGAATGATAACCTTAGGAAAATGATCAGATCTTCCAGAAGCCCCCGGGATGCCAAATGGATTAGATCAAGACAGGAGAGGTCGTGGGCAGATGACCCTTTGGCGGGCCACCTGAAGTTCTCGTGACACCTGACGAACTCTTGTAAAAGAACACTGTTGACTGACATCACTGCTGCACCCTGTCCTGTTGACCTGTATAATCACCAAGCCCCAACCCCAAGATGGATTCACAGTTCTTAGGCTCGAGCCTGCTGAGTCTCCCCTTTGCCCATCAAACCAGTAAAGCTGCTCCTTTCTTTGCTCCCAAACTTTGCCTCCGAGTTTGAATTCCCTTTTTGGGGTGTAGAGGCTGACTTTTCGGTCACATTGCCAGTGAGGAAAATCTGTTTTACTTCCTGACAGTTTGTTCAGTCTTTTGAAAACTTGTACTCAATAAGTGTTTATAGAATTGATAATAAATGAGTAGATAAATGGTCAGATGAGTAGAATTAATAATAAATGAGTAGATAAACGGGGTTCAGGACATGCCACCCCAAAATATGGCGCCTTGGCATATTGAATATTTTAAGCTGAAGGAGTTTGCGAAAACAGCAGGAAGTTCACTCTGACCTCCTCCCTCCCGCCACCCACCCCCCTGCCCTTCTTTCCTGAAACAGGTGATAGAACTCCCAGGTGAAAGGCGCCTTGGCATATTGAATATTTTAAGCTGAAGGAGTTTGCGAAAACAGCAGGAAGTTCACTCTGACCTCCTCCCTCCCGCCACCCACCCCCCTGCCCTTCTTTCCTGAAACAGGTGATAGAACTCCCAGGTGAAAGGTGCCCTCTCATATCAGGAGGAAAGAAGACATTCTTATCACAGTGAGGGGAATTTATGGCCGAGAAATCTGTATAAGCAAACCTTGTTAAACTCACCCTTATCTTCCTAGTTTTTTCTTTACCATTTACAACCCCAAGCCCAAACCCCTTTGTCTTGTCAATTCTTCACATATTTCTTGTTTCTTTGTCTGAAAGGTATAAAAGCATTCTGCTCTGGTCATGTCTCTGGGTCTCCATTCTCTTGTCTATGCAAAAATTCAGTGAATTTTGTCTACTTTTCTCCTGTTCATCTCCGCCAGTTTAATTTTCAGATCCAGCCAGGGATCCTAGGAGGGCTGAGAAAAACTGTTTCCTCTTTACATGGGTCATCCCTCCCTCTGAATAATTAACATGGTAACACAGGTCCTAAGATTCAGTGGTTATCTCACTGAGGCTCAGTGAGGTTAAGAGACCATCTAGTCTCTGACACAGCCAGTCACAGGCTGCAGATGGGATTTAACCCAAAATGCATTGGCTCCAGAGCTGGCTTGGAGGGAGGCTATGAGAGTTGGAATTTCCTGGCCGATCTGGAGACTCTGAGGACGGGCCTGAGGCAAAGGAGGCAGGGGGAGCTCCCTGCTCTAGTCCAGTTTTGGCCAAAAGGAAAACAAGTGACCTCCCTAGGGCAATTTCTCTGGCTCCTTCATCTGGAAGGCTGAGTTTTGTGAAAACAAGAAAAGCAAGATTTGCAGGCTAGATAAGTGATTTCAGCTCCGCCTGCAGGAGACCAGAGACAAGAGGAGTTTGCTTCCTGTGGTTGACCACTTCTGGAATGGCAGACACCAAGACTAAAATGCAGACTATTTCCCAGTCTCTATAGAAGCTGGCCTTTAAAAAATTTATGTTTATTTTTACTGGGGGGAGGTAATTAGGTTTATTTATTTATTATTTCTTTAACGGAGGTACTGGGGATTAAACCCAGGACCTCTTGCATGCTAAGCATGCACTCTGCCACTGAGCTGTATCCTCCCTGCTAGAAACTCCTTTTAAAAAGAACTCAATAAAAAAACCAAACAAAACCAAACAAAAAAACCCACAAACAAACAAACAAAAACACCTAAAACTAAATAAATAATAAAATAAAATAAAAATAACACAGTGGTGAGGATATCTGGCTGGAAAGCCCCATTACCTCAAGCGTGGCCCATTAGAGACTGAGCTCCTAGCCTTGCTCTGAGCCTGGCCTCCCTGCCTCCTCCTGGTGAGTGGCAGCTCCAACCTCCAGCTGCTCAAGCCCCAAACCTTGCAATCACGGTCTCCTCTTTTTCTTCTGCATCCAGTCCGTGAATGAAGCTTGCTGCTCTGCCTCCAAGACAGATCCAAGAGCTGCCACGTTGGGCGAGATAATTTGCATGTGGTCTTTGCACGCTGCTTGGCTGTGTAACAGCAGGCCTCGGGCCCAGGATACCCCCTCTCCAAGAGATGAAGAGCCCACGCACCCTCACAGAGCTTGTCACCCTGAGTGGGAAGATCCTTCCCTGTTTCAGGCCCAGTAGATGCTCTTTTGTTCTGCTTAAGCATGTGTGTCATATGCGTAAAGGAAAAATATGGCTGCCATATCAGCAAACAAAAGGCGGTTGCAGCCATCATTTTGCAGCGGCCTGGACAGTGAGCCCTGGGGGAAAACTCAGGATGGAAACAGGATGCCCGCCATCAAGCAGTCAGCCAGTGCAGTCACCCCAGCGTGCCCCCGAGGGGACTCAGGATGGGAGACTGCAGGACACGGGCCCTAGAGAGCTAAGGTGCAGATCAAAGGAATGGTTTCAATGAGCCCAGACTCTTGCATCTTCCCATATATAGAAAAGCACTAAATCTCTTAACCTGAGATATCTTTTCTTTATTTAATAGAAATCTTATTGATGTACCAACTACCTGGTCTTTGCTGCAAAAACTCTTATATATCCTGGCTCCTTCCTGGCCTCTCCGGGGCAGTCCCTCAGAGCTATCTGAGAGGCTGTCTCCCAGGCTTTAAGTTTGGCAGATTCAGAAAATCTGCCAAATGAAACATAATTCTCAACTTTTAGGTTGTGTTTTTTTCAGTTGAAAGGTGGCACCTGGCCAGCCCTGCTGCTATTTCTGTACTCTTCGGGGAGGGGACGGGGTCCTTCCACTGTGACGTGAGAGGGCGGAGCCTAAGCAAACTGCCTGTCAGCTGCCGGGAGACACCCCCTGGCCCCGGGGACCGACACCAGTACTGAAGATGATCTTGCTGTCTCTTCTTGGCCTGAGTCCAGCTCTACCCATCAGTGCTTGCGTGCCTTGTGTTTTCCTTGGTGCCTCCAATACCAAAAGACTCCATGGGCAGAAGTGTCTAGAGGACTCCCCGGGATTGACAATCAGTGCCTGGTGCTCTGCTTGACCTGACCACTGCTCACCATCCCCAGCTCCACCTCTTGGTCCAACGCTGTCCTTCTAGAACAGAAAGCAGACCATGTCCTACTCTGCCCAAAGCCCTCCAGCGGCCCCTACCTCACTCAGCAAAAGTCAATGTCCTTGAAATGACCTTCTGACCCTGCGCTATCTGGCCCGGCTACCTCCCTGACCTCATTCCTTCTTCCTGTCCTCAGCTCCAGCCACTCTAGCCTCCTGACCGCATCCCCCAAACATGCTGGGCAGGCTCACTCCTGCTCAGGCCTTCTTCCAAGCTGCCTAAAACCTCTCCAGCAAGATGGAATCCCCCAGGTGCTGGGGGCTTCCCCCCCAACTGGGGTCTCCCCAGTGTCTAGAACACTGCCTGGCTCCCACTGGCTCGCAACTGCTTGTTAAATGAATGTAAGAAGCTCTCCCTCATGAGGCCTGCTGTGTGAAAAGGGGCAGCTACTTCTTCTGTGTGCCTCACTGTTTCTATGTGCCTCCGATGACCTCTCCTTGCAGGACACCCTTGGGCTCCTGGGGCCACCTTGCCTGCATGGTCAGGGACCCAGAGGAGCCTGGAAGCTTAAGTCACTGTTCCCCGCCACCCCCCCACCCCGCCCCCAGAGTAGCTTTGGCTGATGACCAAGAAAGCCCGTTCCTCTGCTTTGGACCAAGTCACACGCTTCATTTCAGGGTCTGCTCCTGGGGCCCCACCTAAGACAAGAGCCATACTCTGTCCCCTTCCCAAAGAGCCAGTCAACTTGGAGTTTGAGACTATGAGGAACTGGGGTCTCTGAATATACTAACTTCTCCCTTGGCACAGGCTCTATTATCTGTCCCCTCAACCCCACCTTTTCATTCCTTTGGAAATCTGCCGCGTTCAGGGCGCAGATACAAGAGCACACACACTGCGAGCCTCCCACATGCCAGGAACAGGTATAAACAAGAGTACTGGGACTTGAATTTCAGTCTCATTTCCCTCAGGCTGCACCTCTCCCCCATCCAGGGCCACAATCGTGAACTTGACTTGGATCTCGACGATGCTTTTATATCTTTCCGCATATACACCCACGATCAACGTGTGGTATTGCTGACAGGTTTTTAAATTCACACCAGCGCTCTCATATATCACATGCCATTCTGCAACCAACGTTGGGTGGGTGGGTAGAAGGGGGACCAATATTGGTAGGCATAGATCTGGTTTATTCATTTGAACTGCTGAACAGCGCTCCTCAGAATGAACGGATCAAAGCTTATTTGTCTGCCCCCCCTTTGACAGGGAGGCTGGTTCCAGTTTTCCACAGCTGCAGCCACTCAGCATCCTTTGGCCTCAGAGCATGAGTCCCTTCCCCAGAGGCCCATGTGCCTTCTATCAGGGCTCCTGCCTCAGGACAGAGGACTCTTAATATCTGTGCCCCGAGAGCAGGCACCTGGGTTCACCCCTATAGTCCCAGGCCCTTGCCCAGCACGTGGCAGGGACTCAGCCTCTCTGGATGGACGGATACAGAAGAACGGTGGGGCCTGCGCTGGAGACAAGGCAGGATGGCCTGGGAAAGCGCAGGCACCTGGGGCCAGGTGGTCAACACCCATCGCAGTGGGAGCTGGGTAGAGCCCTGGCCATGGGACCCCTGGAACTTTTGGATGGGTGTCAATCCCAGTCAGCTCCGAGGCCAAGACCCAGGGTCTGCCAGGAAGAGGCCACCCTGCTCCTACTGACCCAGCCTCATCACAGACTCAAAAAGCAGCCCTACCGACAACTTTGCTGTCATTTAGGGAGGACTCCCGAGGGCCAGGCGCTATATGTGTCATCAGCATCCTCATTCTCCAGGCAGGCAGTAGCCCTTCTCCGGGAGACACGGAGGTCAGACAGGTTAAGATGCGCAAGGGCACACAGCCAGTCAGTGGCAGAGCAGGATTCAAACCAACACCTGAGTCATCTGAATTCGGAGAAATGGACGCTGCTTTGCAACTGAACAGTGTGCTCCCTGCTGGGGCCTCGCCTAGGCCAGAGAGGGGCACAGGGCAGGTCCAGCTCCTCATGAGCCCGTTTCCTCCTGCCACAACAGAACGGGCACCTAAGCCCTGGGGATTCGCAGGAGAAATCGTCCCAGGAATGGCAAGTCCAGGCCCCAGCCCTGAAGGGAGATTAAACGTGCCTCAAAACACACTCAGCTACAGAATTCCCCGAACTTTAATGCCATGGCTCCGAGTAGGGCAGCTGGAGGCTGTGGTGGGTCTCTGGGGCTGCAGACACCTCCTGTCTCCAGCCTCAGGGTCCCCAGGCACCAAGTGGCCAGGCAGTGAGAAGCCAGGGGTTCTCACCCCATGCAGGACTACTCCCGGGGCTGAGCATGACCTGAAGCTCTCAGAGCTCCTGCAGGAGGGCTTGGCCAACTTCAGGAGAGGCCTGGGGTTGGGGGTGGGCATCACTGGCCCTTAGAGAAGGTCTGACCCTGCCAGACTCAGGCATGGCTTGGCCTGGGGTCTGTACAGAGCAGCCAAGAGTGGAGGTGACAAAAGCAACCACAATTTCCAGCCTGGGACCAGTGGGACACCTGGAAGGCAGGAGAGGCCTCAGGGAGTTTGGGATGGGTGTGCATGGGGGCTGCTGGCCTCTCGGGGCACTTGATTTAGGCAACCCCTGAGATGGGGATCCAGAGGACACCTCCCACGTTAGTTCTGAGAGCACTCCTAGGATTGGCAGGTTAGGTCAGGAGCACCCCTAGGATGATGTCCAAGGCTCAAGGAAGGTGATGCAGCCTGGGCCTCCCCCACAGTTTGTCAGACTGGTCCCTGGACTGGGACCAGGCACAGCAGGGCTGGCTTCAGTATCCTTGGGGGATGGAACCCCTGCCCTCCGGGTCAGCAGGCACCTCTGGAGAGGCAATCGTCTGGTAGGCGCTGCGATCCTGTGACAGTCCGAGGAAACCTAGGGGGCGGGGGAGGGGAAAGAAAAGACAAAATAGAGAGAAAGGATCTAGGACATGCCACTGAGGCCAAACCAAGATTCCCCTTCCCCCAACCAGAAAGGCCAGAGCTGGGCATCCCAGCACCCAGGACAGTGACAGTGGCAGCAGTCCCAGGCACTAAGCCTTTATCACATATTGTTTATTCAATCCTCTCGGAACCCTGCAGAGCAGGTGTTTTATTGTCCCCACTTTACAGGTGAGGAAACTGAGGGTCAAAGAGATGAACGGACTTGGCTGAGATTACAGAGCCTGCAGCTGAGGACACTATGATTTAAACCTAGGCAGCATGACCCGAAGACAGGGCTCTTAGCCACTATGCTTCAGTGCTTCCTCGAGCAGCATGTGCTCAGGAATCTGGCTGAGGGATACCCAGTCCTGGACACGCGGGCTCCCCTCCAGCTCCTCTCCCAGACAGGATGGATACCGTGTCTACAAGGCCCCAGAGCCAGCATGGCTGCAGGGCCCAGAAGATACAAGGTGGGCTGGAGGGCCTAACTGCCACACTCCTCACTCCCATCCTCATTCTGTCTGTCCTGTGATTCTGAACAAGCCCCAAGGACTCTGGGCCTCAGTTTCCTCATCTGCCCAATAGAGAAACATCCCTGACTTCCCCTCCCCCTGGGGCAGGTCTGAGCAATGCTGAGCGGCGCAAGGGTGGGTGGCCCCAGGCCACTGCTGCCTGTGGCCCAGCTGCGCCCCCAGCAGGTAATGGGCCACTCTGGGCCTCTCCTCACTTCCCTGAGAGAGAAAGGAAATGAGAGCGTGGGTCAGAGAGGGCATGGCGGGGGCAGGGCGGCTGGGCTCAGGGACAGCATCTGCAGTTCAGTGTTGTCTTCAGCTGAGGCTCCCACAGCGCAGGCCAGCTCCGTCTCTCCCCCGGCCACCCAGATCCCATGTGGCAGGAGAGGGGGCTCCAGGGATGGGGCCGGCATGAGCTGGGAGGGGAAGCTGGCCTTTCAGGTGCCCATGAGCCTCAGGCTGCAGACGGCCCCGAGCGGCCTGGGGAACTGGATCACACCCCCAGCTGTACCCATGCTTGTGCTGAGATGGGGATCCTGGGCCAAATCCCCAACGCTGCTCATGGCATGAAACCAGGGAAGGGTCATATCATGTGGGGACAGTGAGGGGATCCCTGGGCTCCCACAGCAGAGACCAAAATCTCGCACACCCTCTAGCCTGGCACCCAGAGCCCACACCAAGCCCCTCCCTGCACCCTGAGTCCTTGTCTTGGGGCGGGGGGTGGGGGTGGGGGTGGGCAGGGTCGGCTCACTGGGACAGGCAAGGCGGAGACAGAGGAGAGGTGGGGAGCTGGCCGGAGGCGGCAGCCTCACCGGTGTGGAGCAGGAGCTCACCCCCGCGCTCCCGGTACATGTGGTAGACGAGGCAGCAGGAGAACGGCTTGAGGAGCAGGCTGAGGATGGCCATGCCAGCACTGAAGCGGACCGTGTCCGAGAGGCCTGCCCTCGGGTAGAAGATGCTGATGTGAATGACGTCCAGGAAGACGGTGACCACCAAGCCACCCAGAAACTGCAAGACAGGTGGGGCGCAGGACCCAGGGGTGACCACAGGTCATCCGGGTTTATGAGCACACTGACGCCCTGTCACACCATCCCTCCCCAACGAGACGTATCAGACCGGAAGTTCCATTGGTGCCCTGCTGTGTCCTTAGGGTTTGCTGGAAAACAGGTCAAGCCAGCAGGTGGATAAGAGGCCTGACTGGGAACTGCGGGGTCAGGAGCAGGGATGTGGGGCCCTGTCTGGACCCAGCCTGTCTGCGCCAATAGAGCACCGCCTGTCCCCATCGCCTCTCATCTCCGATGCCACGATCAGGCACAAGACTTGGGTCCAGAACCTCCAAGATGGAAGGTCCCTTGGAATACACTGGTTCCATCTCCACCACCAAGGAAACCCCTTCTCAGTCACCCTGAGAGGCTGGTGCTGGCGCTCACCACCCCCTAGAACTGAGCGAGTGTTGGAAGCTCCCTGTGGGACACTTCAGCCACTCTGTGTCCACTCTGACCTCACAAAGTGGTGGGGTTCCCTCTTCACAGGCCTTCCAGCCACATCCCTCCCTATTAAGAGGGCCCTAGAGGTGGCTCATTGGCACATGCCTGCTGTCCTCAGGGAGCAGCCAGTCTGGGGAACTGGAGGGAGCCCGCCCCAGGCCTCTCGGGGGACGGGGGACGATGAGCAGACTCCGGGCTCTCGCAGACAGGCAAGCACACAGGCTAGGCTGGTGAAAACACATGGGTTGGTAGCTGGGCAGGCTTATTTACGAGGCTCGAGAAATGGAAAATGGGGAAAGAAGGGAGAGAAAACTGGAAAGGTGAAGGGGAAGACGGAGCAGGGCCCATGATCGCCCTGAAGCCGGCTCGCCCGCTGCCTCCTGCGCTCACCATACTTATGGCGTCCACGGAGTCCCGCTGCGCAACGGCCCACACGCCCAAGGCCAGGATGGTAAAGTTGGCCCAGGCGTAGGGGCCTGAGAACACGATGCAGCCCCTGTGGGAGGAGGCATCCGAGTCAAGTCAGGAGATGGCCGCCCCACAGGTGCCCACCCCTCCCATAGGTCACCTTCCTAAGGCTCCCAGGTCTCAGGGCCCCTATGAGCAGAGGCCATAGTCTGCAACCACAGGACACCTGTCTGTCCCCTCCCCCACTGTGTACCAGAAATGTCAGCAAATTTCATTGGCTCCGCCTCCAAAACTGATTCCAAATCCCGAATCTGGCCAGGTCCCTCCAGGTCCAAACCACCATCCTCTCCTATGGTATTTATCACCATAGCCTCTCCTCCCTGGTCTCCTGACACTCCTGCCCCCTTCTGGCCAATCCATAAACAGCAACCAGTAAGGTAAACAGGTGATGTCACGCCTCTGCTAAAAGTCCTTCTACAGTTTTCTTGGAATAAAGCTGGAGTAAGATACAGACTCTTCACCACATCCCTAAGGGGCCCTGTGGGATCTGGGGACCCTACACCTCCCATCACTGCCTTACTGTTTCTCTATCCTGAAGACGCTGTCCCTTTTCGTCATTTTAGCTTCAGTTTAAATGTTAACTCCAAGGCTCCTTCCCTGATTGCCCAATTTTAAGTACCACCTCACCACTTTCTAACACAACGCCTGTCCTCTTTTATTTTGTAGGGTATTGCTACTAACGAACTGTTTACTTATTTGTTCGTTAACTCAAAGAAAATAATAGTTAACCCAGAGTCTTTACTAGTTATCTGGCACAGTTTTAAGTGCTTTAAATTAACTCACTTATGTGTATTTGTGTTAACAACTCTAGGAAGGAGGCACTGTTATTATCCTCATTTTTCAGATGAGGCAACTGAGGCACAGAGAGGTCAAGTAACTTGCCCAAGGTCACACAGCTGCTGAGTGGCAGAGCTGGGGTTTAAACCCAGGGAGTCTGGCTTAAGAGGCCATGCTCTTACCTCCCACATTCACTTGGCCTAGAAGGCCGCAGCACGCAGTGGGGTGCTTCACGAATTTTCAGTCCCTGAAGCGTTCCACACAGAAAACACGTGCAAAGTAGTGGAGTGTAGAGCACAACTAGACTGACATGGAATAAGTAATCTCATTTTTTGGTTTTGAAAAAGCAGGTGCTGGGACTCCAGCCCAGACTCACCAACTCAGAATCGTGGGGAGTGCGATGGAGAAATCTGGATTTTGGCCCTGCTCCCCAAGGTCATTAACCACGATTATCACTGTTCCCATTATTCACGCCTGTTGCCACGTGCACTGTCCTTCCACGTCTGCAAAATGCACACGTGAGCTCAATGGGCCCCAATCTGCTTTGGCAGAGAAATCTCCCCGGAAGCTCAACAGATGAAGCAGATGGTAACGATGAAAATCCAGCTGTGACCCTCGGGCCTCCCCTGTGCAGGCCCGGGCACTGTCTGGTGACTAGAGCACTCCTGGGCTCCTCCCTCACAGCTCCTGAGGGATGGGGCATCCTTGTACCCATTTCACAGATGGAAATCAAGACCCCCCAAGAAATGGAGTCACTTGGCCAAGGTGACCTGGCTGGAACACAGGAGAGCTGGGACCTACCAGGGTCAGTCTGAGTCCTGAGTCTGCGTCTCTGGGTAGAGGGTGTGATGTAAGAGTGACGGTCCACCTCTAAGCAAGTGATCTCACCCCATGTCTTGGGTCCACCGTGTGTCTACTTGCTGAGCTACTGAGCTAACTCCCAGAAGGCGCCCAGCCCGGCAGCTGGCACCTGGACACCGCCGATAAATGTTAGTAGTTACTACAGCTTCAGAATTCCTGCTTTCACCTTCCAATGACCTTACAAGATAAGTGACAGGGTCAGTAATATTCTCACTTTATAGGTGAGAAAATGACCCAGGGAGCTTAAGTGATTCACCCAAGGTCATGGACATACAGAGCTCTACCTGATGTCCACCATCCCAGCACCGGGAACCCAACACAGGGCTCCGGCACCACAGACCTCCCAGAGGCAGACGCCTTAGCGAGGAACCAGAGGGGTGCCAAGCCCCAAAAGGATCGGGCAGTGTCTGGAGGAGGGTCTGAGCTGTTGGCACTGCCCTGGGTCGTGGCCTCCCTGAGGATGAGGGCACGAAGCTTCTAGGGGCAGTGATGGCAAAGGCCTCTGGGTACTGCCTGCCCCTCCATCCCTGGGATGCAGGGAGTTTGCTGCTGATGCTCTCAACAAAGGTGCCATTTAGTCTTGGAACAGGCCAGAAGACACGTGGACAAGGCCTGGGAGACACCTGGATGCAGACCCAGGAGATAGGTGGACAAGTCCCCAAGAGAAATGTGGACCCAGAACCTGGCTGGACTGGCCACCCACAGACTTAGAGTCACTTACCAGGTTGTCAGCAGCCAGTGAACCAGGAGGATCGCCTGTGGCACAAAAAAAAAGAGGGGGTGAGGTGGAGAATAGATCTGTGAATGTGACCACCATGGTGGTAGGCAAGGAAGCTTCTGGAGCCAGAAAACACTGGAAGCCCCTGCCTAGCACCTAGGAGGGCATCACTAAGGTCTGTTGAAAAGAAACATCAACAGTGAGTGGCCGGCGAGGGGAGGAGGAAGAAGGGTACAGGCCAGGCCAGGGGATGCTGCCACGCCACCCCCTCCCCACTCCAGGCAGCGGACACTCACACCTCTCCTGCTTCCAAGGTTGGAGGCTCCTTTGGGGAACCTGGGACTCTGCTCTGGAATCAGAAGAGGCTGTGATGGGAAACGGCCGGGGTGGCAGGAGGGAGCTCAAATGAGGCTCATTTATTAGGACCCTGGAGCTGGGATGCTGTGTAGGGCAGTGGGGATGCCGAGTACACCCAAGGAACAGGAGAGCAGCCCAGTGGAAGGAGACCATTGGGGAGAGGTGGACCTTGAGGGCCTTGGCAAGGAGCATAAATTTCATCCCAAGCACACTGGAGGCTCTTTTGCAAGGAGGTAATATATGATCTTAAGAAAAAAAAAAACTCCCTCTGGCTTTTTTCTACTTTTTTGCACGATTCCATCCTTTTTATTGACTGATAGGTCCTTAAAATAATAGCCTCCTTTACTGGAACTGGTGCTAGAGGCCACGCAGGGACCAGCTGGGCAGAGGGGAGGGGGAGCGGGGAGTTCCAGAGTGGACACCCGGGAGCAGAGGCAGGGAGACAGGACCCAGAGGCCTGAGAAGGGGGAGGGCCAAGGCCGAGGTGGGGGTTGACGCTGAGACTCTGGGAGACCAGGAGCCCCAAGTTAGGAGCTTCAGTGGGGTCTGGCGGTCCATAGGGCAACTTAGGAGAGATTACTCAAGACCCTGAGGGGTCGGGGGGAGGGAACAGCTCAGTGGTAGAGTGCATGCTTAGCCTGCAGGAGGTCCTGGGTACAATCCCCAGTACCACCACTGAAAATAATAAATAAATAAATAAACTGAATTACCTCCCCCTCAAAAAAAATCTTAAAAATAAAGTAATGAATTATTTAATTAAATAAAAATTAAAATTAAAAATAAAGACACTGAGGGGTCAAGCTGGGTGGGAGATGCCAAGAGCCTGGGGCAGGGGCAGCATGCCCGGCTCAGAGAGGTGGACACGGCAGGTCCCTGGTCTGGTGCAAGGGAGGGAGAGGGTTCCCAACAAGGAACTCTGGCTGAGGAAGGAAAGCACTTATTGCACACCTACTGTGTGCCAGGCCCTGGGCCAAACACCTCACTGACATTCTCAGAGCCTCCCAACTGCCTCTGGAACAGATACAATATCATTCCTATTTTACAGATGAGAAAACTAGGCTCAGAGGTAAATTAAGCGGATGGACCTTCTACCGATGGCAAGTGGCAACAGTCCAATTAAATTGTAAGTCTGACTCCAGACCCAGCACCCCTCACAGGGGGCCCTTTGTCCGAGAGGAGCTATTTGGGCTCGGGGCAGACGTGGACATCTTCCACATGCGGAGGTAGGCGACACCCGGGGCAGACCGCAGGAGTACTCCCACCCCTCCAGTGTTCAATGGAGTGAACCAAGTCCGCTCGAGTGTGGTCCACGGCCCCCAGAGAATTCCTCCTCCGGCTACAGAGGACTAGGAAAATAATCCTGTAAGGACTGGTGCACCTGACTTCACAGAGGTCTCAAGACCGGAAAAAGCTGGGTCTACATCACAGAAGGCTCACTCTGGAAGGAATCCACCCTCGTTCATTACTGAGCACTTCCCACGTGTCAGGTGGATGAGCGCCTTTTATCCTTACCATCCTCAGAGGTACTATTTCCCGTTTTACAGTTGAGAAAACCGAGGCTCAGAGGCAAGCAATTTGCCCAAGGCCACAGCAGAGACAGGACTCAAACCCAGTGTAGCCGGGTGTCACCTGCCCCGGGGCCTGGGTGGGCGTGCCCGCCCCCTTACAAAGATGGTGAAACTGAGGCAGAGGAGGATTAGTCTTCATGGGCTTCTTTCCCCAGGGGCTGAAGAGAAGTGATCAAATGGTGCTAAGTTTCTTAAACATTCACAGCATAAGCCGGCATCCTTGGCCTTTGCTTGGCCTCCACCCTGGGGGTTCAGTGGTGAGCAGAGCAGAGGCAGCGCCGGGCCTCCCTCCCAGAACCGACACCTTGTGCAGGGACACCTGCTAACCAGATAATCACCTCAGGAGTGTGGAGTCCAGTGACAGCCCGTTGTGAAGGAAGTCACAGCAAAGGAAAAAGAACCTCATTCTGCATCAGGTTGGGGACTGGAGTGCCTGGGCAGCTTATCTTATGGAGTGACATTTAAGCCACGATTAAAGGAGGTTAACCAGGGGCAGAGGGGAAAGAAGAGCACTGCAGGCAGAAGGGACAGCACCTGCAGAAGCTCTGTGGCAAAGGCGAGCATGGAACATTCTGGAAACGTAAAGAAGCCAATGCGGCGGGACTGGAAGAGGAGTGTGGAGGGACAGGAAGCTGGGGATGGGGTTTGGCAGGGCTGGGCCTGAGGTGTGGGGAAGAATTCTGAATCTTTATCTCAAGAGCAAAATACTGTCCCTCCCCTCTGTCAACAGGAAACCCTGCCCGCAGAGGGGAAGGGACCTGCCAGAGGCCAAGACATGTGGCCAGCCATGGTGCTGCTGGTGTCAGGCTTCTAAGACAAGACACCGAGGAAGAAGCCACAGGGGTGGCAGCTCACATCACCCCTGTTGATTTCCTTCCGAAGATCAACACCGAATCCTTTCTGCCTTTGACTTCTGTTTCAGAACAGTCTTCACTCCCAGGCGCTCCGGTTCCTACCTCTAGACGGTGCACACAGCAGGTCTTTAATAAATCGGTGCTTCTTGGCCTGCAGAGCCCTGCCTCCTGCGGTCAGATGAAAGGCTGACACACAGTGGGGCAGAGACCCGCAGGGAAGCCTGTGGGGAAATCGCTCTGTGTAACTTGTGGGATAGACATTTTTCCTGGAGCCTGAAAAGCCTGTAGTATGGAGTGAGCACCTGCCTAAGGTCCAAAGCCAGGCCCTCTTTTGGAAAGAAGAGTATAGCCTGGAAATCCTGCAGAACCTCAGCAGACATACAGCACTTGGTGCGACATCCCTTTTGTTTTATAAATATTTAGGATATGTACCACCACTTGATCACTTCTGTTCAGCCCTGGGAAAAGAAATAAATCCCTGAAGACTCAGCCTCTTCTGCCCCACGTTCCCACATTTCGTAAGGGCGGGGCACACCCGCCCGGGCCACACCCGCCTGGGCCCACAGGGGTCTGATATGCCAGAAAGCTCCAAGAAACCGACCCAAACTGGCTGGCCCTGCCCTTCCAGACAGCCCTCAGAGAGAACAGTGACTCAGCATGAACGTATCCGTTGGCTGCAGGGGAGGTTTCGGGTAACCAAGGGGAAACTTGGGATTCGCAGGTACTGCCTCAAGAATACGGGAGGGAGGGGCTGGCATCTGAGAACGTGTCTGGGCGCCTGGCCTTTCCCGGCTGGGTGAGAGGAGAGACAGACCAGCTCCTGGACTCTTCACATAGTGCTTGGCCCAGGGAGGCTGCCCTGCCCTTTCCCAGCCAGTGTCCCCGGTGTCAGAAGACGGAGCAGAGGGAGGGCCAACGGGCCAAGGCAGTAGGGGTTTGCAGGATGCTGGATTGGAGGCAGGAGGCCTGGGTTCTGGTCCAGGGGCCCTGTCCCTTTGTGTCTGAGCCCCAGGTTGCCCCTCTGGGAAATGGAGGCAGCACCTATCAACCCTGTGTCCCCTGGGGGGGCCTCAACCACAGAGGGACAGGCATCTGACGGTCACTGGATGTATTCACTTAATAACCATAAGCGCCTATGTATTTAGTGTAGGCGTCCTGTAACAGCGTGAGCCACAGCAACCCCAGCGACTGATGAGGACCGGCCTGCCATGTGTCTAACTGCCCTGAACACTTGGCCCATGTCCTCCTTGCAGCTGTATAGGCTAGAGTTTTAGCCCAGTTTTACTCATGAAGAAATTGAGCCAAACCATTGTAAGTAAGAGAGCCCAGATGCAAATCTCAGAACTGGTCTATCTGGTCTGAGTTTTGATGCTAATAAAAATGTCATGCTATACCACCTCCTGGACCACTGGATCCTCCTATCACCCTAAAAGGTAGGGCCTACTTTTATACTCTTTTTTACAGTGAGGAAACTGATACTCAGAGAGGTTAAGAAACTTGCTCCAGGTCACACAGCTAATAAGTAGTAAAGCCTGGCTTGAATGGAGCTCTGTCTGGCCCCAAAGCTTGTGCTCTATCCACTGTGCTACAGTGTCAGCATCTGGAAGAGCAGGGGAAGGGTGGATGAAAATGGGGAGGTTTAACCCAGAGAACGGAAGGCTAAAGGGAAGCCGAGGGGTCACGTGGCCCAGGACTTAGACTCTTCCTTTGCCACTAGAAGGCCCACGAGCGTGGGTGTGGGGCTTCCCAGACAGGTGGTGGACAGACCTGAGGTCACTATACAGATCAACATATGGAATATATTTTTACTGGTCCTGCGCAAACACTTGGTGGCCTGTGCATGAGGTAGCGAGATCCCCGAGGGCTGAGGCTAGGGGCCAGCAGTTGGGGCTGCCAGAGAAGGGAGGTAGAGTTAGGCAGTGGTCAACCGTGCAGGCACTGGAGCCAAGGATGTGGACCAGATCCCGGCTCCATGACTAAAGAGCTCTGTGAACTCGGGCTGCTCACCTGAGCTCTCAGAAGTGTTGCTTGCTTTTCTGTAAAGTAGGGACAATCATGCTTCCTGGGGGCGATGTGGGGCTACAGGGAGGGGGAGGGGTGTGTGAAACATTTGACACAGTACCTACCAGGGAGTCAGGCCCCGATACGTGGCATCCGCATTACCACCATCATGAAGTCAGCTTCCTAACTTAACCCTAATGCCTCACTACTCCCTACATCCTCCTCTCAAGGGCCCTTTCTCACATGACCTCATGAACCCAGGCCTGGTGCTTTCTGAGCTTGCCACAATGTCATTCCTCCAGCTCAGGACCTGCCTCAAAGATGGGGCTGGGTGAGGGACTGCCGTTTGTGCAGAGGGCTTGGGGCAGCTGTTTCTGCACACCTGGCACCATTGCCCACCCTGGCTGAGTTGGACAGCCATTCAGCCAGTGCCCAAGGAATGTATGAAATGAAGGAGAGGGTAGGGCAGGGTGCATTCTCCCAGCTCCCAAGGGTCTCTGATCTCAGAACATCCCACTTAGATGCCTGGGAGCAAGGATCATTTCCCTCCACAGGGTGGCCAGATTCAACAACAAAAATAAAGAACACCAGTTAATTTTTAATTTCAGATAATGAATAATTTGCTAGGATGCCCCCAAAATTGCCTGGGATATACTTATACTAAAAAAAGTATTCATTGTTGATCTGAAATTTAAATTCGACTGGGTGTCCTGTGTGTGACCTCACAACCCTAGCCACTCAGGACTTCCTAGCACTTCCTCGTCTCTGACTGGTAGCAGCTAAGACCCTTAGAGACCCAGGGCCTGATTTTTCAAGTCAAGGGAAGGACCAGTCATTTCATTCTAGGCACCAAAAGCCAGCACAGCTCATGCCTGTGGCCATGCTCAGCCTGTCAAGCCCATTAAGTTGCTCAGAAAAAGCCCCAGACAGACTAAGCACCCTCAGTGGACATAAACTATCAAGGCAGAAGTCAGCCCTAACTAAACTGGTGGCCAGGAAAGGACACGGCTTTGAAGTCTGACTCCGATGGGTTCCAATCCTGACTCTGTCACTTAATCTCTGTGGGACCTTAGCAAGTTACTTACCTGATCTAAGCCGAATTTTGCTCATCTGTAAAAGTCTCAGAAGGCTGTTGTGATTAAGTAAGTAACCTGGCATACCACAGATGCTCCAAGAATGAGGGTTTTCTCCCCTCTCAATTCTTGCAGCTCTATCCCTCATCTGATTCTTTCTTGTCAATTATTTCAGGCAAATCTCTAATCAGAGAAAAGGTGTTGGTATTAACCCCACATTGCCTGGAACAGAGTGAGAACTGACACCAAGAAACCTCAGTTGCCCTCATGTAAATTTCTTCCCAGCTAAACCTTCAACCCAAGCCAACTCCCTTGTCCCAGACATCTCTCCCCCAGGCTGTTGACTGGAAGCTTTGGGGAGGTATGCTGAAGCAAGTATTAAGGAAACTCTCAAAGGAAATCTGCCCATGTGAAGTCATAGCACAGATTAGGTCAATCATCCAAATATGGATGGTGTGTTGTTCTGCAGTCATCTATCTCTTTTATTCCTTTAGTACCAGACACCACCGGTCCTAAATGCTTGGTCACTCATGAGTAAAAGGGCATTCCTTTTTATACAGTCTCAAAGGAGGCTGCACTGAGACCCAAAATGGCAGGTTTGGTCCAAGGTTCACACCTGACCAAAGCTAAAGGCTTCAGCCTCTCAGCGGCAAACACAGCCAAAAGCACAGCAAGAGGGGGGCAGGTGGGCGGAGACAAAAAAGAAGAACAGCCGCTGGCATTCTGAGAGCTGAGGACAGGGCTCAGGAAATGAAGACACCCCAGAAAGCCCCAGTGTTTTCCTAAGTGCACAAAGTTGGGGTTTTCAGCTTTTAAGTAATTTCTGTTGGTGTCTGCGTTTCTTATGAAATAAGGACGTTGGATTTGCAAACTTTGAAAAACCACTTGTCTGGGAACACCTGATTTTAACTCGATTTGCCAAACAAAGGAGGCAGGTGAAAGGTTTAGCCCCTCTCTCAGCGGAGGAAAGGTGTCCTGCCTCTGAGGCCCTCCTCGAGCTATCGGTGCCCTGCCCCAGCCCACCCCTGCGCCTTCCTCTTTCTCCAGGGGAATTCTGGGCCTGCAGGCCAAAGCGATCCTCGGGGGCTGGGTGCTCCCAGCTGGACCGGTCCGACTCCGGGAAGAGGCGGCCCCTTCCCTTCCCTACCTCCTCCAGTTCCCTCTCGGTCTTCTCTGCTAGCCTTCTGGATCCCTCTCCCTGCTATGGTCTGTCTGCCCACCTCCTTCTCACCTGGGGTCTGTACATTCTCTTTCTCCCTACCGCCCCTCTTTCCCCAAACTCTACGTCCTTTCGCCTCTAAAATCCTTCTCTAAAAGAGCAAACGCCCGATACACTCCAGGAGATCCTCCCCGCGCCCGCCAACCTATGGCGTGGCCACCCCCGCCCCGCCCCGCCCGTCGCCACCTTCAGGTTCACGGCGGGCAGCTCCATCCTGACCAAGCCGGAGGGCACCTGCGCGACAACCGCTGGGGGTCTGGGTCTCCGAACTCAGGAAACAAACTTGCCCGGCCCCGCCCCAAGCGCTGCAGGCGCTCCAACCCCAGCTGGCCTGGGGGACACGTGAGTCGGGTCACGTGACTTGTCCAGTTGCTAGGAGACGGCGTCGTGCTGCTCGCTCTTTCCTCCCGGCTGCCAGTTTCCGCCAGTGCCCAGGTTGTTAACGGGGGCTTTTGGAGAATATCCAGAGTTGTCTCGCAAAGGACTCAGTATCTTGCCCAGTTAAAATCCCAGCCGGTGGGCTGAGGGGACCACTTGCAGTCAGGAGAACAGGTGCAAAATGCAGATGTGGCAACCACGGCTGGTGTCTCAACCCTGAGGGCACCCTCTCTCGTCCCTCCTTCCCGAGTGAAAGTGAGACAGTTACCTACCTCATAGGACCCTTCTGAGGATAAATTGACTAATACGTGTTTGAAGAAAAAAATTATTCCGACACTTGCTAAAATGGTAAGGAAGATGTTATTCGAGACTGTGGGGACAGAGGTACCACAGTAAAGAAGGGAGATTAAGCTCAACACCATATGCAACAGGAGGAGTGGGGATTTATAGGGAGGCAGCAGAGGGAAGGGTCAGTGAGTGGAAAATTACCAAGAGGGGCCAGCAAGGGAAGGGGGATTCTTCTGACCTGACCTAACAGGATTCTTGGTAAAGGTGGGCCAGAGACAGAAATCAGTGGGGGATGGGGAACTTGATCAGCTATGGGGGGTCAGGAGATTCTCACTAAACTGACTTAGCAGGATTCTTGCGAAAACCAAGCTTTGCAGGCCCAGCAGGCACAGGATGAATGCAGAAGTCACCCCCCCCCGCCCCCCGCCGGTTGAGGCCTAGGCAAGAAGCCGGCTACGAGTTTAGTTAAAGATAGAGTCTTTGTCAAGGTCAAGTGCCCAGAACAAGTGCCTGGCACTAAGTGAACAGGCAGTACACATAAGAGCATTATTATCAATACAAAAGGGACCAGTGGTTGGAGCCTACTTGAGTTAACACACTTAAAGCTTCAGAAAAATCCAGCTGGAAGACCAGCAGAAAAACCTATAGTCATACCTGTCTCCACAAGGAAGAAGACTTGGGAAGAAAGATTCCATCAAGACACTGAATGGAAGAACCAGAGGAAAGAAAGGGCCGTCCCACTGCATCTCTCTTAAAGACTGATGACCACTTCCAAAGAGCACCTCCATCCTCCTCCCCACCTCGTCCTTCACCCATAACCTGAGAACACTTTCATTTGGAGGCTGGCCTTCATTTAGAGTCACCTAGGGTAAGGGTCCCCGCAGGTCCGTCTGAGTGCTTACTCTTATTTCCTGGAGGGAAGAAACCATGTGGAAACCTGCAAAACTGCCCGTGTGGATCCTGAGATCTTAACAAGACACATACTCTCTCCAGATATGAAGAAAGGATTTATTTAGATGGGTATGGGGACTTTTGCAAAGCTTCAGGGTCCAGTGGCCTAATTTAATGCCCCTTTTGGAGACACAGCCCTCCAGCTCTGGGGGCTGAGCAGCACAAGAGTGTGGGAGTAACTGAGAGGCAGTAAGCTGTAGAGACCAGATGAATGGATGCTACCTTTGGTGTGATTGGGATTCACAGCACAGGGGACTAGCTAGACCAGAGCAACAAGAGTTTGAGTCCTGGCTTTGTCAACTTACTGGTTGAACTTGAGTGCGTCACTTAGCCTCTCTGTGCTTCAGTTTTCTCATCTGTAAAATGAGGATAATAATAGTATCTTCCTCAAAGGGTTGTTAGGATTTGTTGACACATGAAAACCATTCAGAACATAGCCTGGCAGACAGTAAGCATTAAATCAGGATTGGCTACTATTTTGTTATTAATTATTAGTTAATTATTGTTACCATCAGAGTACCTAGAAAAGAGTAACTCCTCATTAACTGGTAGATAACATTATTATTATATTATTTCTTTGCAAGAAATGTTCATCCATCCATCCCAGAGCCTGAGTGTTTAATCCAAGCCTGTAGGTGTGTAATAAAACCATGATCACCTTGTAAGGAGAAAATGCAAAACAAACAACTCCTAGGATTAGAGCTGCTGTTTATTAAGCACTTACTTTGTGGCAGACAGTGTGAAAAGTGCTCATAATAAATGTTCACATCAACCCCCACTGTGTAGGTGCTATTCTTACCCTGATTCACAGTAAGATGACTGAGGTCAAGAGCAGTTAAGAAGCTTGGCCAAAGACACATCACTAGTTGGTATGAAACGGAGCTAGAGACAGGTGAGGTCTGGCTCCAGGACCATGACATTCAGCCAATCAGCTCCACTGCCCACGTCACAGGAAAATAAAGCTCAGGCTGAGATGCAAAGGATGGAGCGAGGCAGAGAGAAGACAAGTTGGAGCCAAATGAAGCCCAAGGCTGGGTCTTGTGGAATGTCCCTGCAGCTCACATAGTGAGTGACACTGCATTTGTCTGGACCAGAGGCATGGGGAGAGACAGACCCAGCAGGGGTGGGGAGGGAGCCCACAGGAACAAAGGAAATGGAAACTGTTTCAAAGGAGCCAGCGTCCCTGCCAGGTCCCATCCCAACTATGGAAGGACAGATGGACCCCTACAAAGCATATTCCACAAGGCTTTATGTTCATATTTTTAGTAAGTGCACTTCTGGAAGTCAAGGTTAAATTTTTTCATGTCCCTCACCAATCCTGTCTGTCTCAGCCAAGTGTTTTTTTTTTGCTTGTTTTTTGTTTGTTTGCTTGATTGTTTTTTTCCTTTCTTGTTGTTGTTTTAGCCAAGTTTTATCTTTGCACCTTCAACAAAGAAAATGACATGGCACTACAGTATGAATGTACTTAACATTACTGAACTGTACGCTTAAAAATAGGATGGTAAATTTTACGTTACTTTTTTTTTTAAACCACAATTGAAAACAAACAAACAATGAGAAACTGACATGCAGAGTAGATTCGTTCATTCATTCATCCAGGGAATAATTCTTGAATACCTACTTTGGTAGATATCTAAGAATGAAATGGCTGGACCATAGCACGTGTACACTTAACTTTTGAAGAAATTGCCCAGCTGTTTTCCAGAGTAGTTGTACCATCCTGTTTCACGTTCTTCATAGCACTTATCAGTCCCTGAAGGTATTGCCCTATCAATTTGCCTGGTGGCTTGTTTATTGTTTGTCCTGCACTCTAGTCTGCAAGCCGTAGGAGGGTGCAAACTCAGCACTTGCCCAGCGTGTAGTAGGTGCTCAGCAAATGAATCGACATACACTAGTTGAACCAGTATGCGTACACCACTTCCTGCCATCGCAGGCACTGCCACCTGACTCTCTGCTTGTCCTCAGGGTGCCACTAATAATCCAGGTTCTGCCCAGGAGGCCAGTCAATGCTACTGGTTATGCCAATAGCTGATAAAGCAGCCACAGCCATTTCTTTCCCATGGGGCTTTGTGGCCTTTAGGTAAAGATATTTTTTGGACCCCTGCCATATTTCCTCCTAGCAGAGTTATCTTAAGCTTCAGAGTGATGGTGGGGATCACGTGAGATAATTTACACAGCCTGCCTGGCCCACCACCTGGTGCTTTGTAAGTGCTCAGTAAGCAAATAGTTGCCCTACTGCTATGAAAAAAAAAGAAAAAACGCAGCATCTTTCAGCATCTCTCAGCCTCTCCTGGCTCCACAATAAATGCCTGTTGAATTGAAGTAGCAGGGAAAGGCCCCTTGATGGGGAGAAGACGGCCAGATCCCCTTCCTATCAGCAAAGCCTGGAAGATGAAACTCAATGTTTCAACATGCTGCCGCCTCCCCAGCCTCAACCCGCTAGCACTGCCACTCTGTGTCTTTGTGACCTTGGGTTAGTTGCTTAATCAGTCTGAAGTTTTTTCTGCATCTAGAAAATGGGGACAGTGATAATCAGTCCAGAGCTGTGTGAGGCACGAAGGAGGCACTGAATAGCAAAAGGCTTTGAAATGATTTCCAACTGTCCTTTGGTCCACAATGTCCTAGACACCCAACAATTCTGATGTCATCCGACGGCTTCCTTCTCTGAGAGGGTAAATCAAACCAGAAGAGGGAGAGTGCAGAAAATAAACAAAACACTGTCTGAAAGTCACATTGACGTGTGAGAGAGCAGGCTGTCCACAGGAAGCACATCAGAGAAGGGCCGGGAAGGCAGAGCCGTGGCCCCTGGGTACCACTAAGATTGATGCTGGATCCAGATTTGATCTGGAGACCTTTCCTTCAGCACTGCTTCTCGGCGGCTCTGGGTTTCTTGGCCTAAGGTCTGGCAGGGTTGGGGAAGGCCCGGGTGTTCTGTTGCTCAGGGTTGTTCCTTTCATCTGAGGATGTGATCTCTCTCTTTGTGAGCAAAGACAGAGAGAAAGGGGCAGGAGAAGTGAAGCAACCAAGTGGAATCTGCAGGCTTAGAGTCAGGGCAGCTCTTCTGGGCTTCCAGACGCCATCCCTGGTCCTTTGGCCGAGTCTCTGATGCCAAGATTCTGAAAAGTATCAAACTCAATTTTGACTTGTCAGTAAAACTGGCCGTGTCCACGGCACTACTCACTCAGATCCTGGGGGAGCACGTGCCTGGCGGGGCGTTACAGTGGACGATTCTGCTTTATCCCTCTTCCTGGATTTTCTGGAGGATCCTGGACATTGCTGGGAGGTGTGAGAGCCCCCTCTCCAGAGACAGCTGTTTGTGTGGCTGGTCAAAAGGGAAGGGGGCTGATTCTGAAGTATTCATCCCGATGGCACAGCATTGGAACTCACGGCAGCACCCATTGCTGATTTTTATATGCCCCAGTCAGCCTCCTTGAATACTCCTCCTTGAGCCTTAAAATGCAGCCAGTAATTCCTAATGTTCCTATTGCGTCTCCATCTCATCAGGGTCCTGTGAAAATCACTGCGGGGTGAGCCCCATCCTGGCAAGTCCTCACCAAACACTTAGCGACATTATTACCCTGTCCCTCCAGAGATCCATGTCCTCAAGTCAGGCATCAGAGAACCTGTCAGAACGCCCTATGGATCCCGTGGGGAGCGTGGAAAAGGCAGAAAGGAAATTGCCTGTGCCCTGCTGTGTTCCACGAAATAGTGAT